AACTTGTGCACAACCGCTTTTTATCCGAAGCGACATCTTCGATTAATCTGTAATACCTCTCTCTCTGTTCGTTGCTACTAACAGTTAGAAGACAATCACACGCGCAGACACCAGACTGCTTTGGACTTTCAAAATCAACCAAGCTCCTGACTAGGGAAGCCGGAAAACGGCACCGTACTTGCCACCAACATATGCGTGTGGACGGAGCAAGAAATTCAAATTTACAGAGAGAAGAAGAAGAAGAATGATGCACGCAGCAAATTTGTGAAGGGGAAGGAAATAGAAATTCAGGATTTGTCTTTTTTAATGTTTTCTTTTTAAATGATTACTCATATGAGAAATGGATCCTAAATTTTGGGCAGGGCATTCTTAATTTGTGGCCCCCACCAGCAGCAACATTAGTGGGCTTGAGTTTGTGACTGGTTACGTGTTAGTGTGCTACAAACGTTGGGTTTTTCTTCAATTGTCTGTTTTTTTATCCCAATCAGTAGGGTGCCTGTCAATAATCGGACCGAACGAGACCGGTACAATTTTGGTTCGGATTATATAAAAACTGACTAAATTGTAAGAATTTAAAAAAAAAAAAATTTGTTGGGTGCATAAATTTATATACACATAACATGAATTAATATAATTAAATACATTAATATATAATTATATATATTAAATTTATTCTTATTTAAACAAATTTATTTAACAAGTTTATATCGAAATTAGATCAGAACATATCGGCCTCCTTAATTCTCAGTATAATACAAAATGAATAATTGGTTTGTATCCTAATGGTTCTAGTCCACTTTGAATTAATATATTGATTCACTATATTTTTCTAGTCCAAACTGAGTTTTTGCTTTTCTCTAACTTAGAATTTAAATGGTGATTCATTTAGCTATAAAAGAGTGGATGTCGACAATACTCATGAATTGGTAAATTAGTTTCTAAAGTGTCTTGCAATTGGTTGAGTGAGATCTCTTGGTATAGGATATAGCACCAAATTCAACAAAAATATTTTGTATTTATTACTTCATAGTATCATTTAAATTAATTGACCATGAATAATAAGTAATGAAATTCACTCAGGATAGCTTAAGGGGAGAAGTTCTAGGTCTTCTACTTGTTGGAGAGTATACACATGGAGCGACAATAAAATGTTCAAGCCTTAATTGATATGATCAGAGGTTCATGGAAGCTTATGAATTAAATAGAAGGCATGGTTTAGCTTAGAATTATCCTTTGTTTAAATTTTTTAGTGCATAGGATTTGTTCTAAGTGACGAATGGTGTTGTGAGAGACTACACACATGCTATTCCATGTACCCATTTTTCTAATATATATATATATGTATATTTAAATGTGTGTAGTTATACATATGGGGACGTGGTGAAGTTTTACTTTATTTCTCTCTTTCTCTCTCTCTCTCTCTCTCTCTCTCTCTCTCTCTCTCTCTCTCTCTCTCTCTCTCTCTCTATTTATGGGTGTGCTTTTCAACATCTTCATCTAGAAAGAGAAAATAATCAAAACAGAGGAAAGTAGAAGGCTAACGTGCATGAAGAAAGCCAAAAAAACGTTGTCTGCGGTTACAGACGATTGACTACAGCTGACTATTGAGTTGTGGACCTATAAAGTGTAGACGATGTTGTGGTTTTTGGACTTGACTACAGAGGAATGTGTCATTTATGTCAAGAAACATGTGTCAAATATGTTGAAGAATAATTTAAAATTACAATTAAGTATCTATT